TCTTTTTTCTCCTTACCTTCTCCTTTGGGGCACTACTTGAAATGTATTATGGATAGCATATTATTATAGGTCCTCTGAAAATAAAAAAACCCTCCTGAGCCATAAATTATAAATTTTAGTCATTTTGTGTGTCGAAACGAATGGGAAAGTTATCCGTCACTGCGTCGAAGTGCCATTACCGATTCAGCCAATTTGAAGTGTGCATAATTATGCATAGTGATTACAACTTTGAAAAATTCATAACTTTCTTATTTTTTGTCCGGTCCCATTCAAACCTTCATCAGTCTTGTGCTCAACTTGAACCCCATCTCACAAATAAATAAGTAAATGTGTTTTTGAACGTATGAACTGAATAAAAAGAATATTTTTCTTGGTATAATGATCTCATTCGGCATTTGAACTAGTCGACTGTGGTACTGAACTCAAACTCATCTATAGTATACATGTGGCTCTGTGTACTTTGATCACACTGACCCATTTTTTTTTTCAGATTGAAAACTTTGAAAGTTACTGATATTCATTTTGTGCAAATTGCAGTGTTCATGTATATACCGATTTAATAAAAAAGAACTGCCTTTATCATTTCGTAACGATTTTACTCTAAATAGACACATTCACAACTACCCAACCAGACATTCTTCTGATTTTCATTTGTTTATGCCAAGGAGTGCTTTAGCCCACAGATCCATTAGATATGTAGGTCCTTTCTATCCTTTTCTCTTTCTTATATATCTCCATCTCTCCCCTTTCACACACACATCTTTTCTTCTCACTTTATATCTCTTTTTTGTCCCTTTTGCTTCTCCTCGCTCTCTTTCATTATTGTTGGATATTTCCTTTTCCCTCTATCGTAATATTTTACCTTATTTAATTCAACATGTCTAATGGGTTTTAATTCCCATTTCGTTATTATTCCATGCGGTATTCATGATACTCTAATGCCTTTTAATGGAATTGTGATTGTAAACTTTCGCATTCCGGCCTTGCAGCCGCGAGGAAAGTATTTGACAATACAATTTTGAATGAATGGTAACCTTTTTTGTATGAACTCAGTCGTTTGTAAAGATCATTGCAATTCGGCTTTGCCGCCATGATATATATTTTGTTTTTATTTTCCAGTCCTTAAACCATTTACCTAATATTTTTCTCTCATTTATGTGAATTTTGTTTATCAGGATGGACTTTACCTTGAAGTGACTCGGTAACATGGTTGAACGTTGATGAAAAAAACTGAATAACTTTTGTATGAAATGTTACTTATTATATTACTTCTACTCTAATAACCCTCTAATATGCAAAAAATCTTGAAAAAAATTCTCAAACCACATAGATATTTATGGTTTTCTTTGAAGGCGTCACTGTGTGTCAGGCTAGGGCCTTAGGTGGAATCCAGGGGACAGAGCCCCGGTAGCTCAGTGATTTTATGCATTTAATTACGGTCATATGAGCATATTTGTATACCTCATTATTTCTTTACACTGGCAGGTCACTGTTCTTTCTTTTTTGCTTTCTTTTTTTCTATTTCTCTTTAATATAATTTTCCTGTTGGTAGCTCGAGCCCCGAAGCCCCGCCGTTTCGCGGGCTCTGACATGAGTTGTAGGCCTCTAAATAAGCATATTTCTCGCCTGACTGTAAGGGGAATTTGTCATTTGTGAACAAACGCATAAAAAGTGAAGAAAATTCCCGAAAATTATGCATTTTTTTTTATACTCTTGTTTTAACAAGCGACTCTCTGAATTAGTTAGAATACGTCTTTTGCTACATCTACAACAATAAGTATCAATATGAAAAAAAATGGAGATTAGCAATGTAAAACATAAGTCTGGTGGATAGGCAATTGCCTTGTAACCGGAAGGTATCGGGTTCGACACCCAGCTATAGTGCCTTTTTTTTAGTCTTTGAAAAAGAAAAACTTCTTTTGCTACACCTACAGCAATGAGTATTAATATGAAAAAATACATGCAGATTAGCTGTGTGACACATTAGTCTAGTGGATAGGCAATTGCCTGATAACTGGAAGGTATCTGGTTCGACACCCAGCTAGTGCTTTTAATCTTTAAAAAGGGAAAACGTCTTCTGCTACATATACAACAATGAGTAATATGAAAAAATACATTGAGAATCGCAGTGTGACACATTAGTCTAGTGGATAGGCAATCGCCTGGTAACTGGTAGGTACCGGGTTCGATACCCAGCTTGTGCTTTTTTTTATCTTTGAAAAAGAAAAACTGATGTTGTTGGGGGGGGGGGGTAGCTGGCTCTCGCCATGGCCATTTTAAAACTGGATTCAAGAGCCTCCGTGTGCCAAGTTTACGACGTTTTTTTTTTTTTTTACATTTTCAATCATAATTTCCTCGCTTTATTTACTCTCTACTGTCCCGTTCTATCCTTTTTCTAGTCTGTACTTTGCAACATGAAAACAATGATGAACAGGGTTTCGCCTCTCCTATACATTTAATAAAAGCGCCCTAATCTAATTACACGAAGTGGTATAAAGGGCCTTTTACATTTAAGTCTATTGAAAGCATTCCCCACCTCGCATGTATACCCGAGCAGAATCATATAGTGCTTAAAGGTGAAATTCAAAGAAAATCACAAATATGTCAACTAATGTATCACTAGCTAACAGAAGACCATCGTACAAGTTACATATCGGGTGATTTATAAAAATACAAATACAACCACCTCCATAGCAGCTGGGATATACGAGACATTCGCCGGAAAAATAACGATGTTTTAATGATGTCACTATATGGACCAATACTGCCCAAGCAGGCGACATGAGAATGAACATAATTGCAAAGCTATTTTGTCAAATTATAATGAGTTTAGAGTATATAAATGTAATGGCATGTCAAGCCATTCAAAAGAGGATGTGACCCGATTCTGATAACTAAAATCTTTTGCTTGTAAATACACAGGATAGGGGTTAATTAACAATCAAAGAAAACAAAATTTCAAATTGAAAATCCCCCGGAATGATATTGAGGACGGCATTTGTTCCCTCTTGAACCCCGGTGTGTGCAGCTGAAGATACAATGGCGTCTTATTTTGTTTACAAGCGACAGATTCCTTTATTTTTGTATCGCTGCATTTGTCATCAAAATAAAACCATGCGCGGGGTTTAGAGTGATGCAATAGATTATACATTTAGCCTGACGGTAGTGAAGTAAGAGAAAGAACTCAAGAGAAGATGAAAAAACAGGAACTGAAAATGTGCGAGATGTCATGGGACATCGTCTGCTTGTGCAAATCGTGTCCATACTGTGATCTCATACATCTCAGCAGCGTTCGGGGAACTCTTCAGGTGCTATGCCTGCTATGCCTGGGCTGTATTTAAGCGTTTTGTAATTTATAATAATCATTACTTCGAATGTTTCCAAGCATTGAATTTTGATTACCTTGTCGAATCAAAGTTTTAACTTTGCAATGCAATAATGAAAATAAAGTTAGTTTTTAAAATCAATGAATATCTACTTTAACAATCGACCAACAGTCTTGGGTAAAGAGGTCTATTATTTTTTATTTTTTTATTTATTAGTTATTTGTTTTAATTGACAGTGTACTATTAGATATCAGGTAGGCATAATTATATTGGTTGCTCTGTTTCAAATACAGTCAAGACTGTCGAGCAACGAATTATCTTCTGCTTCTTGTCCTAAAGCCATATCTTACTGGTTCTTTAAACGGTATCATTTGAATTTCCATTTTCGAGCATTATTTTGAACTGTCCCGAAGATGTTTTGCCTTTCTTGAAATGAGACTACTATTCTTTTCCTATGGGGATATTGATAGTGCTGGCCCAGACATTAAATGCGATAGGAATTACCATTAACTATTTGACAAAATGTGAAATAAATCTAATTGCGCTTCTGATGTAAAGTTCACAATGTAGAAATGTAATTCAAAAGAGAGCAAAAGATTTTTATCTTCATGTTTTGTATTTTATCAGAATTAATGCTTTTAAGGACGATTTTCATCCCACGGGTAAATACAAGTTATAATACACCCCTAAAGGCTCTAATCCATTCTGGCGTTAACATTTTTTCCAATTAAAACGGAAAAATACTCTCTAATTGTGTTATATAGTTTACAGGTCTCTGGTTTAGATATGTAGAATGATATTCTGTATCAACAGAGATGGACAATTTTCCAGATAGCATGCTCTTTTCCAACTGATTATAGCTTTCTCCCTCTTAATTTTTCCCTGAATTTTGAAACAAGTTCTCTCGTCATATTGTAAGAAAATCTTGTGAAAAGAAATATTGTTGAATGTCTTGCATTAATTGGAAAATTAATAATTAATAATTTTTATGATGCAGATATAGGAAATTCAGTAATTTAGATGTATTATTACGTCGAAACAAAACGAAAAGGCCCTATAAAACTTTTTTTTAAAGCAGATGTTTCTGCATTTATTGATCATCAAATACAAAACATTAAAAAAACAATAGTAGTTTATATAATTGATTTACATAAAGAGTGATGGCTGAAATACACACATATGAAAATGCATATATATATATATATATATATATATAGAGAGAGAGAGAGAGAGAGAGAGAGAGAGATGGAGGTAAGTCAAAGAATCAAGATAAATGCAGAGGCCAACTACAGTCAAACCTGTCTATAGCGACCACTCAAGGGAACCACAAAAAGTGGTCTTTGTAGACAGGTGGTCCTTGAAGACAGGTTCCTTTGACATGTTTCAATGAGAAACCATTTTCAAGGGAAACAATTAAAAATGTGGTCTTCATAGACAGGTGGTCTTTGTAGACAGGTGGTCACTAAAGCAGGCTTGACTGTATATCATAGGCCTACGCATGAATGCTTGATAAATGCTCTTTCTTTGATATATTTTTTTTCCACTTCATTTTCCCTCTTTCATTTTTTCAGTCTTTCATATAATTTGTTTGTCCACAATTTGAGGACTAGTCACTACACCACCCTACATGCTCTCTAGTGATTTTAAGCATTTTATTCTGCAAATTGGCAGCGTAATAAATTAGTAAGCTATTTTTTATCAAAATAAGCTCACCCATACAGAAGTGTTTTTTCTGAGTTGTGAAAGGTGGCCTGCTGATTTTATTTGTAAGTTCGATGCCATTATGATAACTTAATATTTTTTTCAAAGTAATTATAACATTTTATTCTGTAAAAACTGATTTAAAGCTGGAATTTTAAAGAGAAAAGTGTATTACTCCTTTATTAGTTGTCCCATATACTTATAGTTGTGTAGTGTAAAAGAATTGGGCGTTAACCAACCAAGGAAGGGCGAGACAACGGCAACGCCACGGCAACGTACAACCACAACCACTCTATTTCGCGCGTGAACATAGTTAATGCCTACCAGTTAAAGTTTTGCAGTATTTTTTTTGCAGATCTATTCTAGGTCTAGACTCTACTAGAGGTCTACTACTAGTCTAGATCTAGGACTAGGTCTAGTAGTGTCAAGTACTCGAGACAAGTCCGTTCTCACGACCAGGAGGGGGTGCTGGTCCGAGAATAAGGATCGTCCGCATAAACGAGGATTGTCTTCGTAAACACAGACAGATGCGTCCGCTAAAATAAGGATTGTCCACATTTTCACAGACGTCTCATATTTCCTATCCGTGCATTGCACTATGATTTGCTTACTTAGCCATGGTTTCGATTGAGTGACGTCATGCCTCGTTCGGTGACGCATGCGCACATCTGTCCAATGGTACCGTAGCAGCCGACGAAGATTCGCTATCGGTATGATACCGTTATGTCATCGGATCATTATCAAGTTCTTTCTACCCAATTTACTGAAAGCCCCTCCCACAATGCAGTTCAGAAATGACAACATGGCGTTATTTACCTCATTCCCCATACGTTGATACCAAGATCGTTCGAGCATCATTTACGAAAGCCTATCATTTTTCAGGACAATTCTAACCTGTTAATTCAAGTTTTAGCAGCCATAGCGTCTAAAAAATGTATTCTTAAACAGTAATTTTGACTAATTTTGTATAATTTGTGAAATATTGTGATATATTTTTATGGATTCTTGGCATGTTTATCTATCTGTTGATGTTCGTTGTTCCAAATGGGAGTGTGTGCAAGGCGTGTGCAAGAAGAGATTTTTGCACATGCGATGAACTGTTGCTTATGAATGTAAGCTGCCTCTAGAATTATGCATATAATATGGATTTTGCGCATGTGGTGTAGCTCAATGCGGAAGTGTTAAACTCTGTACACAGGGCATGGGAAGCAAAACGTTATGCATTGGTGATGCAAAAAACGCAATGATTTTCTTGATGCATTTTACATTTGTACAGAGACTTTCACATTATGAGCGCTAAATCCTCCGGAAGACGGACAAACCATAAAAGTAGACGATACATTGGGGTTATTTTATCATATGGAATTTGTTTTTCACATCGCTAGCGCTTGGTTCAGGAACCAAAAACCTGCAGAGCGTTGATGAAAAAAAAACGTCCTTGAAAATGCCAACAATCCTTATTTTTTAGGACGCAATGTGTCCGCGTTTACAAGGACATCCTTGTTGATGCAGACGATCCTCATTCCCTACTGAAGACTCAAGTGCTCAGATTTTTCGGAAGATTGCTTTTTTTTTGCTTTTTTCATTCCGCAAATGACCTGACCCATAGTCCTCATTTATCAAGACGATGTCAATGCTATAAAAACTTTATGTTGAAATTGAGATTTTTCACTTCTTATTATATTCTTTCTTTTCATTTTAAGGTAATTAATTCTTTAATGGATTCTCATATTCTAATTTCTATCTAAATCATCTGTAGACTGTAATGTAAACTTATATGCCCGAAAAATGCCACAAAGTTTAAACTTTTGTTCTTTTTGTTCATATTTGAGATTTACAATACATCACATGTACAAAAAAAGAAGTTAGGTTTTCCCATGGCATATTTGAATGAGTCATTCCTTGGACAATTTGAGGGGAATATATTTTATTGTTGAATCTGTTAAACATTTGTGGATGAAACCTTAAAGATGAAGTTGAGTTCTGGTCATGCGATTGCATTGTGAAAGAAACGGTGTGGAATTGACCAGAAAAGGTTGATCATCTAGCATATAAGAATTTGTGTGTATTGCAAGGTTCTGAAATCATCAAAATGATAAGAATTTGGCCAAGTCTTGGTAAAGTTACAAACACTGTACACAGAAAGATGTATATGGGACTATACGCACATGTGCGTTTATCTCTCACAGACCATGTAGATAAACTAATTTACCAAATAAATCAATTAGTAGGCGGTTTCCCGGCAAAATTGTTATCATCATGTATTAGTCAAAACATATTCTTTCACATGTGGTAATGAGAGCTTCCATGTCATTTTTTGAAATTGGGGCGTTTCCAAAACTGGTCTTTACCTTTAAGCCAAGAGTCTGATGACTTCATCATTTCTGCTGTGTCTGATATTGAGAAGAAGATGACATGATAAAACAGATAAAAAACATTTTAAAAAGTGTTTGTTTTTAGTTTTTCTTTTCAAATCATTTTCTATATTTGTGCTTAGCTATTAGTACCGTGCCAGAGGCAACCACAGACTCTTCCACCGCTTAGTCTAGTATGCACACCTAGTCATCATGGGAAATCAGCTGACTGGTGTGGCCCCGTCTCAGATCCTTCCCGTAGAGCATTACCTAACAGATGTGTCCGATTATGAGTTTGACCACAGTCTCGGTAGTACCCGATTCTTCAAAGTAGCGAGAGCAAAATACAAGTAAGTGTGGATCCTATTCAAGCATGTGTTTCCTTGATTATGGAGCATTTGTTCTGAGCTTTATTTCATCAAAGATATAGGCAGGGCTCGACATGAGCAATAGGCCATTTTCGTATTAAGGTAATCAAATTTAATGCACAAGTCTTTGTGAAGTGCCTCAATACAAATTATATAATTTACCTGATAAGAATAACAGCATTTCAATAGACAGAATCCGAACTGTATACATTAGTTGTTGCCAGGTCGGACAAACATTATGACCTGACCTACCTAGCAACACTTAATATTTGCAGTTTGCATTCTGACTATTGAAATACTATTATTCTTATCAGGTGAATGAAATAATTTGTATTGAGGCACTTCACAAAGACTTATGCATTAAATTTGATTATATTACGAAAATAGCCTATTGCTCATGTCGAGCCCTGCCTATATCTTTGATGAAATAAAGCTCAGAACAAATGCCCCATAATCAAGGAAACACATGCTTGAATAGAGACTTATGTATTACATTCGGTTACATTATGAATATAGCCTATTGGCCGGGACACATTGGCACCCGAACTCTAAGTCTGACCCCCAAACTTTGAAGTTCTACGTAGGGCCCATGCATACAGACTGTGAAAAGTGTAGTCTGGATCCTCTTCCTATAAAGTTAGTGTGGAGTGCCCGGCCCCCCCCCCACTCAGTATTATTTAGGGTACGCATATGCGTGTTCCAACCGACCCCCCCCCCCTTTTCAGCAAAAGTCCGGTGTGTAAAGTCAATACGGCTCGACCTTTTTCTTTTGTATACAAGCCTTTTTCAGCACCCCCCCTTTTCAGCAAAAGTCCAGTGTGTAAAGTCAATACGGGTCGACCTTTTTTCTTTTGTTACGAAAAGGACATTTTGGCAACACGTATGGGGTCCGTCCGTTCTCGGAGTGGGGGGCCGGGGTGGAGTGCTGATACAGGATTAGGGTTTGGGTCATAATTGGGTTGTAGGTTAGGTTTGGGATTAAGGTGAGGTGTAGTGTTTGTCTTGGGGTTGAAGTTACACATTTGATAGAGATTAGAGTTGGAAATTTACCATAGAGCAGGTTTCCCCTGAGAACAGTGTCATGTAGGAATTTCCTTATGAAGAAATAATGAGAGAACACAAACTTTTTCAACAATGGAAACTAATAAATGGAGTGAAAACTGAGTTTCATTAATGCAAAACAGTTTGATATCATTCAGATAAGATCTTCTTATATGAAAAGCTCACTTTTACCAAATTTTACCCCAAAATTGTTTTACCATAAATGTGTTTCTTTGGTCTTGTTGCTCTTTCAGGGAAGGATTAGCAGTGGTGAAGGTGTTTGTGATCCATGACCCTTCTCTGCCCCTCAGGTCATTCAAAGAGAAGATAGAGGACATCAAGACAAGACTTTCCAACGGTTCCAACTGTCTACCCTTCCTTAGGAGCACAGTAAGTTGAAAAGAAAAGAAACAGACACAAACAGCAAACAAACAAACAAACAACAAACCACAATGAAACAAAATGTTCATGGGGGGGGGGGGGTGTGAAGAGTATAAACAAGTTTTGAGAATGCTATTTATTTAAGGTAGCAACCAAAGCCTGATAATCATGTAAAACTAAATTAATACCTGTGGTTGATCAATTACTTGATTGATCTTTTGTAATAAACTCGTTTTTAAGAAAGCAATTATGCTTGGATTTATGCAAGCTACAGGAGCCCTCTGATGTTAATTCTTATTTGAGTCACTAGTTAATCGAAGACGAGTGCTGAACCAAATCACATTAGCATTCTCACTTGTTCTGGAATGAAAGTGGTAAAATTGAAAACGATTGTTCTTGTCTCTGTAATACAAAATTAATATACTGGGTGAGTTGTCAAATATGGACATATATGCTTACCCGGTAAATGCTTAAATGGTACAAATGTCAGAGGGAAGGACAGAAAAACGTGAGGGAGGGACGGAAGGAAGGAGGGAGGAAGGGGGACGATTTTTAAGGTATGTTTATCAGAATTAAATCTATAGAGCTTTGACCACATATTTTAACCAACTGCCCCAATCCCCTTTGTACTTGAGACTAATCCATCATCTCTTTCCACAGCTATCCGATAAAGCAGCCCTTCTGTTTCGTCAGTATGTGCGCAACAATCTCTACGACCGCATCAGTACCCGACCCTTCCTTATCTCCATTGAGAAGAAGTGGATTGCATTTCAGTTGCTTTGTGCACTGAATCAAGCTCATCTAGTTGGGGTAAGAGATTACCTTTCAAGCTTATGAATGAGTGTTTAATAGTATTAATTTGTTTGAATGCAATTTATCAAGCTCTAGTTATGTTATTCAGAAACCTGTTAAACTTCCCCTTATTCGGTCCAGTCTTCTCTCAGTCTGTTTTTGCTATTTTCCAGTATTCAAACCCATACAACAGAACTTACTATGTTACATCCAAGAACTCTTGCCTCAATTTAAAAGACAGTTTGGGTCTCTCAGTGTGTTTCCAAGCTATTAAAGTGGATTCTTTACCACAGATTACCATTTTCTTTCGATATATTTCTTAAATACATTGTGTGGCATAATATTAAATCCTGCCTTGTCATAGCTTGATGAACAATGCTGGTCTCAATTCCGATGACCGGGGTAATAATATATCCGTACCCATTTTTGAGAGACATCGTCGATGTAGTGAGTGCTATATAAACCAGAATATTAATAATTTAGTATTATTTTTCCTGTGCACTGTTTTCAAGAAGTGATGGCATAATATTGTTATATACTAGAATAGTCATGGTCTAGTGTGGTTAGGTCGTCGGACTGGCGATCACAGGGTTCGTGGTTCAAGTCCTGCCGCAGCACTTTTGTCCTTGGCAATCCATTAATCTCCATTTGCCACCCTCCACCCAGGTGTTATTGGGTACCGTAGTAAGGAGTTCCTTGAATGCTTTGAGCACTTATACAGTAGCCTAGCAGAGCCGATGTAATATTTGAGCGCCTTGAGCACGTTACATGGTGAATTTGTATACTATTATTATTATTTAAAGATAAAGGTGAGTTCTGTGAAAAAAAAGAAAATTGAATTCTCACAGAATCAAACGAAAATTACTCTGAATGTTCAAGATTACAAATAAATGTCATTTGCCAAACAATTTTGGTAGAAAATGTATACTGGCTGAGTAATGAGCATAGCAAGATTAGGAAATCAAGGTTAGTAGCCCCAACACCATTTGTGTAGTCCCATATACATTTTCCTGTGTACAGTGCTTGTTACTTTACCAAGAATGGGCCAAATTTATGATGATTTTGATGACTCATGAACTTTGCAGTACACACCAATACCGGTACTTAAATGCTACATTATCAACTTTTTTTGATCCATTCCACACCTTTTCTTTCAAAATGCAATCGGATGACCAGTACTCAAATTTATCTTTAATTTATACAGGTTTGTCATGGGGACATCAAGAGTGAGAATGTGATGGTGACTGGTTGGATCTGGGTTCTACTCACAGATTTTGCCAGTTTCAAGCCAACCTATCTTCCAGCTGTAAGTACCCAACAGTCACTGTTGAAGGGGGGGGGGGGGGACACTCCATAGAGTACCGAAGCTGTGACGTCATACAAATCAATTTTTAGAATTTCTCAATTTTTTCTTTCCAAAAGAGCATCAAAAATAATGTCCAAATGTCGAAAACCAATTTAATATGTTAAGTATTGGCTGAGATATAACCATCTGAATAAAAAGATTTCCCATAGGAACTCAGTGTTATTTGCTCTGGCTCCTAACCACTAGGAGCCAGAGCATATACATGTAACACTGAGTTCCCATTGGACATATATTTATTCAGATGGTTATATCTCAGCCAATACTTAACATATTAAATTGGTTTTCGACATTTGGACATTATTTTTTGATGCTCTTTCGGGAAATGAAGAAAAAATTGAGAAATTCTAAAAATAGAATTTTGATGACGTCACACTTCACCACTCTATTATACCTTATGTTTACTAACATATTCAAATTTATGGCTGTTTTTTTCCTGGTGACCTAATGATGAGGTATTCCATTTACCTGTTATTAATGGATGAACTACAATACTTGGAATCCAGTCTGCATACATCACATGTTGTTATGTTAGGCAAGCCTCTGGTAAGCTTTCTGGTTGTCAAGAATAACCTTTTTTTTAACAGTATGTATATATGAATATATGTTAGTAAACAGGTCTATTGACCAAAAGCCCGCAAGACCATCAATGCTCCGTGTGAGATGATAGATCTAATTTTGTTGATACTGATAATTGAGGTGAATGTATATTGTCCCATACTATGATGTTGATGATATGTTAATAACAAGTTTGAGGAATGTAATTATGGTTATTTAGTGATGATTATGAAGCTGCTTGTGACAATGACGTTGATGTTAATTATTATTATGATGTTGATGACAATGGTGTTTGCAAATGATTTTGGTGAGTATGATGTTGATTGTCTTTATTAATTATTTAATAGTGGGGAAGAGTTAATGATAGTGATAGTGATGATAACAACAGTAAACTTAGAAATACAAATTGTTTTTTTACATTTGATGGTACAGTCAAACCTGCTTTAGTGACCACCTGTCTACAAAGACCACATTTGTTTCCCTTGGAAATTGTTCCTCATTGAAACATGTACTATAGGGACATGTACATAAAGACCACCTGCCTAAAAAGATCACTTTCTTGTCTCCCTTGGGTGGCCTTTATAGACAGGTTTGACTGTACTTTGACACTTATTACTCTCGTAAAAGTACCGGTAGACACAATGATGACCTTTGACATAGGATTGTAATCTTTCCTTCCCAGGACAATCCTGCTGACTTCTCATTCTTCTTCGACACCTCTCGCCGTCGTACCTGCTACATTGCTCCTGAGAGGTTCGTAGAGGGCAGCAGCTCACGGCCTGTAGACAGTGCCACCTCCGAGACAGTAGAGGGCCTTCAAGTCAGGCAAGATGTGAAGGGAGGGGAACTGACTCCTGCCATGGACATATTCAGTGTTGGGTGAGACCACTCTCATACTGTACTGGTTATTAATGAAACAATTTGAATTTTTCATTCTTTTTGGTCTTCTGTGCCATAGCCGGCTAATTCCACCCAGAAAAGTGGAATTTATATTGTAAGTTTGGATTAAAATGAATAAATGTTCTCTTTAAAAAAAAATGGACAAAGAAGGTTTAATCACGGTAGAGGTTTACGGTACACCATGTGTAAAGTCCTGGAAGGACTAAGGAAAGTGGATAGAAAATAAGAAGTGAAAATAGAAAGGCGAGAAAGTGGAGATTGGAAGGAAGAGTATCTTTCAGAAGTGAGTATAGTCCTGAAAAGGACTGTAAACCAGAAAGTTGTAGATAGGATGAGAGGTTTGAGTAGAAGACTGGATTGAGTTGGAGAGTTGAGTAGAGTTGCAGAGCAGGAGCAGGAGAGTAGACTCGATGTTTCGGACAGGTTGACTGTCCGTCTTCACTCCTGAAGACGGACAGTCAACCTGTCTGAAACGTCGAGTCTACTCCTGTGAACATAGTGGCTTAGAACACATTCCATTTTGTCTATTTGTATCGTTTCATGTAGATTGCTACAAAGTCCACACATTATAATTGTGTACACAGTATATGTTCATGATCTGAAAGAACAAAATTTCAACAAAGTATTGAGCCTTTTTCTGTTGCACTAAGGATGCATTATATCCGAAAGAATTCTACCAGACACTGTTGCATATTTTATTCATAAATCGGTACCACATGGTCATCTGGATTATTATTATTTTTTTTAAACCTGTATTTGCTCCTTAAGATTTGTAAATTGACAACACATGGTCATATGAAAAATGGGCTACTTATGTTTTTTCAGGTGTGTGATTGCTGAGCTCTTTACAGAGGGCAACGCGCCCTTTGACCTCTCTCAGCTCCTGGCTTATTGTAGTGGCGCATACTCACCTGACGCTGTCCTGGAGCAGATTGAGGATGAACACATCAAGGTGAAAAAGGAAAAGAAAGATAATAATAATAATAATATTCCGCTTATATAACGCTTAATACAAATGTCTCTAAGCGCTTTATAGATATACTATAATACTTGGATAATAATAAGTACCTTTGGGTCGTCCACATTATCCGATGCAGCTGGAATTTTGTACCATCTTGTTTACAAAGAGTTTCATTGCACATGTTATTGTTAAAGGGAATGGGTAACTTTGTCTCAGATTCTGAAACAAAATCCTGGATTTAGCTCATGTTGCAATGATAATTATAAACCTTTTGGTCAGTCAGGAACCCCATGACTTTTACAAACCGATCGCCTGTCTGATTATCAAGATATTTATGATTGGAAATCAAAATTTAAACAATTTGGCAGTTCATGATCATTTTGAAGCGCAATTTTTTTAGGGCTTCAATATTGCACAGTATCACAGAAACTAAAACACGTAGGGCCATGCTTCTCAGTTTTAACATTGTTAAACGATGCCTTTAAGACCTTTGTTGAGAATTTTCTTATAAGACATGCCATGAGGTTCAAAGTGTTTGCGATGGAAAATGGGATACAAGGAGCAATAACTGTAGACTAACAAATGCGTAGTTAATGATGTTCATTATCTTTTGAAATGAAATCATGTACAAGTCCATTTCCACATGAGATCTCAGTTTTTTGGGTCCCATTAGTGAATGATAGAGAGTTGCATGAAGTATTCTGTCATTACCCTAGGCCCTAGGCTGACCTTACTTGAGCTTTTATGATTGATGTCTGAAGAAGTTAGCCATATACCTTGCCTTAGTTGATACAGTCAAACCTGTCTATTAAGGCTACCCAAGGGAAATAGAACGAGTGGCCACTGTCGTCAGGTGGCCTTTCTAGACAGGTTGTATGGCACACATTTCTCTCTCTCTCTCTCTCTATTCTCTCTCTCTCTCTCTCTCTCTCTCTCTCGGGAGACAACACACATGGCCAATATAGAGAGGTGGCCTTTCTAGACAGGTTGTATGACACACATTTCTCTCTCTCTCTCTCTCTATTCTCTCTCTCTCTCTCTCTCTCTCTCTATTCTCTCTCTCTCTCTCTCTCTCTCTCTCTTTCTCTCTCTCTCGGGAGACAACACACATGGCCAATATAGAGAGGTGGCCTTTCTAGACAGGTTCTACAACACACATTTCTCTCTCTCTCTCTCTCTTTCTCTCTCGGTAGACAGCACACATGGCCAATATAGAGAGGTGGCCTTTCTAGACAGGTTCTACAACACACATTTCTCTCTCTCTCTCTCTATTCTCTCTCTCTCTCTCTCTCTCTCTCTCTGGAAGGAGACAACATACATGGCCACTATAGACAGGTGGCCTATATAGAGAGGTGGCCACTAAGACAGGTTTGGCTATAGCAGCAAATGCGGATGTCCTATAGGGTGGAAGGCATACAATGTAGTAGCCCTTGTTGCAAATCTATTTTCTGATTTTAAAATCCTGGTCACCTTTTTATTCCATTCTTTTGAACTGAATTAAACGAGGCTTCTTCATTACAGTAAGCTGGAAATCAATAGAATCCTTATTATTGATGATAATAATAATATTAATGAAAACGGTGATTATAAGGCACTTTCCACCGAAGTCTCTAAGAGCTAAAAGAAACAAAATACAATGATAAACAATTACATATTAAACGAAACAAAATATTTCAAATGAACCTACAAATTTACAATACATATGAAATATACATCAATGTGAACAGAGTACATGTAAGTTAATCATCAAAAGCAATTTTGAATAAATGTGTCTTCAGACAAGTTTTGAGTTGGTTGACAGTTTTTGACATGTAAAGGTATTTTGTTCCAAAGTTCAGCAGAAGCTTTGCAAAAAGAGTAATGACCATAAGAAAGGGTTGACACCAAAGTACACATGTGGTTTAATTGTTTGATGTTTCAAACCGTATTTGTTGTTGTTTCCTAGGATCTCTGTAAACATATGCTACAGAAGGACCCATCCAAGCGAATGTCGGCTGAACAGTACCTAGTGAAGGGGCGTGGCACGGCATTCCCAGAATTCTTCTATACATTCCTCAAAGTTTACATGGGAGAGTTTGCCGGTGTCCCTATCTACCCGGCTGATGAGAAAATAGCAAGGTAGGAAGCAGGGGGGTGTTTCACAAAACTTGTCATCAGTGACAAATGACAATTTTTGTTTTAAGCTACTGAAATCCTTGCTTCTGATTGGTTATCAGCAGATTTGTCACTGATTTTTGTCATTTGTCATTGAAAAAGGCTTTGTGAAACGGGTCCCAGGGGTTGAGATTTGCTGGGGGAGAGGCAGAAGGAGCAGTTGCCCTCCTGGGGGAAGTTTCTCGAAACCGTCATAAGTCTAACTTCTTGGACTTCCCATTGAAACATGTGTTGTAGAATTAACACCCGTTTCTACGGGATGTCCACGAACTTAGACTTATGCCGGTTTCAAGAAACTGGCTTGATAATCAAACTACATGGCTGGTGAGAAAATAAAACAGGGAGCAGGGGTATTGATTCACGGATGGGATATGGGCCAACCAAAAGGGCAGTTGTTTTCCTTTCCTCTCAATAAATACAGAATTCGCTGTGTCTCCTATTGATCAATGTGTTTGCCTTTTTATCATGACGTTTATAAACTCATGGATAATCACTACTGGATCCTATCAGATCCTGTTTATTGATGATGAATGATAAATCTTAATTGTGGAGACTATGTGTTGCTTAGGGTTGTGCAGAAGTTTATCAGTTGTTTCTGATTTGGTTTCATTAATAGGCTGAATAGAGATTTCAAACTCTAGACATAATTGCATCTATCTGTACACACTGTTCCAATGGCTATTACTGTTTTCTAATGTAACAAAGCATAATCATAAATATGATTTAAACTATGAAATCGTTTTCAGCTTTAAAGGGATCCGGTAACTTTGTCTTAGATCCTTTAAAAAATCCTTGATTTAGCTCATGCTGCGATGATAATTATAAATCTTTAGGTCAGTCAGGAACCCCATGACTTTTACAAGCTGATCGCCTGTCTGATTATCAAGATATTTGTGATTGAAAATCAAAATCAAATTTTGCGTTTGCCAAATGGTTTTCATAACACTACAGTCTATTGGGGAAAACGAGTATGGTAAAACCTGTCACTCAAAGGTTTTACTTTTTTGAGGCACTTCTTTTTGGGGCTTCAATATAACACCATATCACAGACACTGATAACACGTAGGGCCCTGCATCTCAGATTTAACATTGTTAAACGATCCCTTTAATATCTTAGATGAAAATACAGATTTAGAGGAAAAGCGGCAATTTTATTTCAGTTTTCCTACCCTCCCATTTAAGGATATCATTTCTCTATCAAGACTAGTAAATATTGTTCTTTCTCCATAGACTGCGTAAAGACATGGGTAGTATCATGCAGACTCTAGTAGCCAACATGGAGGATGGGGAAAACAATCAGCGCCATAGCAACAATGGACTGGTGATAGTCCTGTCTCTCGTCACATCTTGCTTGAGATCACTCAAGGTAAGTCTGAAAAAATCTTCTTTTTTTTTCTCACCACTCTGAGGTGGTAGGTACGCTTGGGGTAAATAATGTAAAGGACACTCAAATCTGTTAATGGATCCAAGCCAAGGTCAAAGTTCATTTGTTAAAATCTTATGTATGCTATAACTTAAAAAATATTTTTACATGTAAAGTATAGTTTGACATTATTTCAAGATGTGACACAAAATCAATCCAAGATATTATGGCCAGAACGAAACTTGAGTACAACAATTTTTTGAAAATATGATTTGTAGATAATTAAAACAAAGTCTATCTACATGTATGGCTCATGCCAAGCACTTAGAACACCCCAATAAATTAATCTCCAAGATAGGTTACTGTATATATTTCTTTACATTTTCAGAAAGATCTTCCTTCTTTCTTATTGAGATAGATTTAAGCACAGTTCATTCTCTTCCATTAAAACTATAAAATTCTCTGCCAGTTAGAAAACCTGTGTCAAGATAAGAAAACAAATTACAAAATTTCCTATATTAATGAGAAAGAGCATGTACAGCTCTACGCTTCTCCGGCATCTGTGTATGGGTCTTCTGTTCATGATTTGATTGCTGCCACATATTTGCTTAAACATTTATTATTTTATTTTTCTTCCGTTTAGTTCTGTGTCTCACGACTGGGTGCTCTGGACATCATGTTGATGATTGGTAAACATTTACCAGATGACATCATACTGGACAGAATCATTCCTTGTATTGTAAGTACATACAGTAAATCTCTGTGAATAAGACACACTTTTTTTCCGCCAAAAAAATATCAAAGTTGGGGGTGCGTCTTATACACAGGTATAGGATATTTGGGTCCTCAAAATACTACTTTTTAATGGTTTTCGAAAATCTCTGTGTCTCAACATGAATTACAGAATGCGAATAAAGAATAGGATCTACTATTTGAAGTTAACCTACGTTCCTAATTTGAAGGGGAGAGAGTTTTTTTTTCAGTCTTGATAAATTATGCCCCTTCACATGGCACTTTGATGGCCGAAGCTCTCCCGTGTCTTCAGCTCGCTCACCCGTGTCTTGCAGCTCACTCACACAGAGGATATCAACTCACCACTCGAAAACTAGCCTGTCCACATTTCTGTTTGGACTCGGAGGAAAATTTGTCTGTCATCTTTAGTTTTAAAAATGACATTGTTAATATAATTTGTAATAAGTTCACAAGCACAAATTGGCACCTTCAACTTTACCTCGTAGCAAAATCAATGTTGCTTGGGTTTTCTAACGTACTAAGGTGTCTGCTAAAAATTATTATAATTATTATTATTTTTTTTGGTCTTAAAAATAGAGGTGCGTCTTTAATACATAGAGATTTATGGTACTACTTTTGCTCCTGCTGACTGAGTGAATAGCTCAATTTTTCAGAATCTACAAGTAAATGAAGCTTCATGAAATGTAAAAATGATTCAGTAAACCTTTGAAGGGAATACTTGGTGTTTGTGATATGTCTTTAACAAAAAAACTGTGCTTGTGACTATTTCATTACCATATTCATCTAATTCATAAATGCTTTCCCCTTACAGCTCCATTTTGTACATGATCCCTTCCCAAGAGTACGAGCAGAGGCTATCCGTACGATCACCCAGACGCTCATGCTGGTCAAGTCTGTCCCAAGAGGGTAAGGAATGGATTTAGTAGGGGTGTCAATGAAGAGATACCGGTAGACAATGAAATGCCCATGTTCTCTCGACACTTTCAATGCCACAAGTCTCAGTTTGGTATTTTAAAGAGAAGGTTGAATTTTAGTATAAATGAAAAGAAAGTTATGAATTTAATCAAGCTTTGTATTCCCTTAAGAGAAAACAAAGTCTGTCTTGCGTTCCATGCATGGAGTTTCATGGTTTCCTTTACTTTCCTTGTGCTTGTCAACCTTCCACCCATAATATGCCTGGTATTATTATTTAGGGGCTGATTTTATGCATACTTGCTGAACAAAAATGAGTTTCTAAGGTGATAAGTCTCCTTAAAATTCTGTACTTCGAGAAGCTACTAGTGCATGTGCATTCAATACGGTATTCATAATCAAGAAAGCAAGTAAATTTTGCCTCTTTTTACCTTACCCATTCATGTGTAAATTTGAGTACCGTAAATCTCCGTGTATAAGGCGCACTTTTTTGCCGCCGAAAAAATTTGAAAGTCGGGGGTGCGTCTTATACACAGGTACAGAAAAAAAAAAAGTTTTTTTTTTTTTTTTTTTTTTTTTTTTTTAGTTTCGATTTATGGCGCTATGCCTGGCAATGTCGCATATGTTTTCTATGTTTTCTATAACAAATGGTGTACCACAAGGTTCTATCCTAGGTACTCCATTATTAGAAAGATAGAGGATGCTATTCATATCATGCATGACTATTGATGTTTGGCATAGAACACAGAGCTTCTGCTAGGTGATGTGAAGAGGCTGGTGTGGGACACTTGGTATCATGAAGCCTTAGACTGTTGTTACTATTATTTGTGACAAGTTCACAACTTCTACTGCACCTCGATGTAAAATGAAGGTCCTTCCCCGCGTGGGTTTTCGTTTTCGGCAACAAAACAACAACAACAACAAAACAAAAAACGATTATTTTATTTTTTTATTTATTTTTTTATTTATTTATTTATTTTTTGCCCCCAAAATAGGGGTCCGCCTTATACACAGGTGCGCCTTATACACGGAGATTTACGGTATGAATGGGGAGAGTACTAGTTAATACTTGCAGTGTTTAGGACCAGTAGTTAAAACTCTTATTGATGATTAGCATTAAGGATGAAATAAAGCAACTAATGATGATGATGATGATGACAGTAACAAGTATGTACTATTTCAAAAAGTTGATGTGAAGAAATACGAAAAGAATTAGTAATAAATGGAAATGTATGAAAATGATGCATTTGTTTTGATTCCTTTCATATCTTGTTACAGGGATGCCAACATATTTCCTGACTACATACTTCCAAATTTGGTAAGTAAATCTAATGATCTGTCTAATCTGTTGAAACTGATGACGGCATTGTGCTCCAAATGCATGGTATCGAAAAACAGTTGTGAAGGCACTTGCTTTGAATATTAGTATGAGAAATAACCGTCACACTCTCCGACATCTGATTCACACATAAGAATCAAGAAATGTTTTATATTAATGAGATATTTTAGTACAGTCTTTTAGGATAAAGTTCCCTACTCATATATGTTCATGTTGATTTATCATTACCTACATCTGTTAAAAGGATCTGAATGTTTTTGCACTATTATAGACAGTTTACCTTTATGACTGCATGATAGGAGTGGAGAATGTGGATACATTGTGTGCGGGTAAACCTGAATCTGATGACTGGGGTAATAATATATCTGTAAAGCGAATACCATAGACACATTGTTGTATCAATGTATTGGGCGCTATATAAAAGCGGAATATTATTATTACTACTAATATAAATATCGCTATAGGCTTAGACCTGAGAGGATACTGGAGTCATTTTTTCATTTTCTTTTCCAGTCTAACATAGCTCAGGACCCCATAGACATGGTGCGGATGGTATACGCTGAGAACATTGCCGTGCTGGCGGAGACCGCCCTCAGGTTTCTGGAGATGGTACAGTTGGACCAGAATGCTGCTCAGAGTGGAGAAACGGACGGTGTGCAGAATCCAACCCAGTATCAGGTATGAACGGAAAAAATTAAGCATTGCTTAAATTTACCTTGTATTCAGTTGATATACTGGTATTTGATCTATATATATTCACATAATACATATATATATATATATACATATATAGAGAGAGAGAGAGAGAGAGGTGTTGTGGTCTAGTGGATATGCCATGGGACTGTAGATTACAAAGTTTTTCAATTCTAGTCTCACTACAAAACTAATGTCCTTGGGCAAGGCATTAATCTACATTTGCCACTCTCCACCCAGGTAGTACCTGGTAGGAATCTATTTCATGACTGCTTTTGGTGCCTTGGGGCAACAGGGCCAAAGCCAGGGTGATAATACTTTTTTGTATTTTGAGCATCTCTTGGGATGGTTATGACCTAATATGGATGTAGCTATCATTATGATTTGTTATTGAGATTTGTTCTGTATGTATCTTGGTTCCAATGAAGGTAAATTTAATTTTTTATTGAACTACTTGATGTATCATAACACATATATGCAATTATTTATTCTTCTTTCACATGGAGAAACGCCCAAGTTTCTTTGAGAAGATGTTTGAATGTGTGATAGAAGGAAATACTCTCACAATTTATTGCGGTATTGACAGATTCAGACTTCACTGTTTGCATTGACAAAATATATTTTTGAATAGGCTTGGCTCAATCAACCAGTTAGTCAATTAATTAAATCAATTGATATTTTTTTTCTTCTGCTCTCAGGCTAGTTATGATGATGAGCTTCAGAACCTACATGGTATGATCCAGCAGAAGGTCGTCACATTACTCAGTGATCCAGTAAGTTCAAGTTTTCTTCTCAGCATTTAAGGCAATCTCAATATTAAAGACCCACTGATTTTTAGTTTCAGTACGATGAAATAGTTGAGAGAGAATAGCATGTAAACTGGTCACTAATACATGTACATTTACATCACCAGAAGTTGTGCTTGTTTAGAGGCTAAAGTTTAGGAGCACCAAATACATGTTCTTCCTGCCCATGTATAGATATCGTATATGGTAGGTAACAGGCTTGACATCATGAATTGACTTTTGAGGATGCATGTATGTGCGTTTTGCAACTATCTCTCTTATGATGCTATGGTTGCTGCAGTAAAGCACCATTAGTGCTGGAATATCCTGGATAAGAGATGTGAAATGACTATGATAATGTACTTTATTGTTATTCCTGCAATATTATATGCTTCAGGATGTAAAATCTTGTCACCCCAATAAACTGTAATTTTATTCAATTGAAAATGAAGGATATATATATACATTGATGATAAAGTCTTAAAAGGAATAAATTTCCTTGATGTAGCATTCTGCCAATGGTTGGATTTAAAGGCATGAATATGTACAGTATAACTGATTCTTAAATTTGTTTCTCCACAGGAGAACATTGTAAAGCGGACCCTACTTGAGAATGGTATCACCCGTCTCTGCGTGTTCTTTGGACGTCAGAAGGCTAACGATGTCCTGCTCTCACACATGATCACATTCCTTAATGACAAGGTAGGATCTCTTATTTCCTGTGATTATTTTGGGAATACTCCGCCCTAATTGACATTTATTTCTTAAAATCCTTTTCATTTGTTTGCATGGTAGGATGCTTAACACCATGGTAATTGAATTCATAATAATAATAATAATAATAGTTTGTCCTTATATAGCGCATTTCAGGACCGCAGATATATATTATTACCCCGGTCATCGGATTCATGCTTACTCGCACACAATGTATGCACATTCTCCACTCCAAACCCTGAAGAAGAAATAATTCTCAAGGAGTGGAGATGCTGTAAATGAGATCCTGATATGTCCGCCCTTAAAAAAGTAACATTTGAACAACTGCAGAATGTGCATGAAGTTGCCATGAATTAATTACTTCTTAAGATCCTTCCTTGTGTGTCTACTTTACACTAAACATGAACAGATGTCCTATTGCTCTTGAAATGAAGTTGAATGTCTAAAACACACATTTTGTTATGCATTATGCATACGAGTATGATTTCTGTGATGGGATTAGTGATACATGTGTCTGTGACAAGCTTTTTATTGAGAAATTACTATCAAATACCACGTATGTTCCCTTTATGGTTGTATATGAATCATTATTTTGCCCCTTCCAGGAGGACTGGCATCTCAGAGGGTCATTCTTTGACAGCATAGTGGGCGTGGCTGCGTACGTTGGATGGCAGAGCTCGTTCATACTGAAACCTCTTCTACAACAGGTGGGTCAATCGTCTTTCTCAGTCACCTTCTAATCTTGACCATGGCTAATGGGAAAGTGGGGTCCTGTTACTTAGGGGAAAGTTTCTGAAACAAGTGTTTGATTTGCCTAAAAATAATCAGCAGTTTGCATGTTTAACTAGTGTTTATTCTCAAATTTCAGTCAGTTTGATCCACCTTTTTTAGTCATTGTCATTTTACTTAATTTAATCTCTGAAGAGGGTTTGCATCAGTGATATGGCTAGAAATGAGAGGGAGAGGATCAAGAAGATGAAGACAGAAACTCAGAAACATTTAAATATGAAAAGGAATAGGATAAGAAGGAAGTAAAAATGAAAATAGAAAGATGAAAGAAAAAGGAAGATGAGTGAGCAAGAAAAAGAAGAATAAAAAGGGAAAAGAGGATAGAACAACATATTATCATAGAATCAGAAGTAAAATTCTAAGATGAAGAGATGATGAGGACTTATGTTCTTTGCTATCCAACAGAGATTAACAGACCATGAGGAACAGATCATATGTAAAGCCTTGAAGAGTATTACAGGTTTAGGTTATTCAGGTTATCCTTTAGGATTGGGCTAGAGTGTCCGGGTTAGGTCTTAAAGGGCTAGGATCACTTGTGTGGTGAGATATTCTGCAGTTCAGACATTGATAATAATCCCAGACATCTTTTCCCTTCCACCCCAGGGATTAACGGACCATGAGGAACAGGTCATATGTAAAGCCTTGAAGAGTGTCACGGGTCTGGTCCAGCTTGGCCTACTTCAGAAGCCTGCCCTGCTAGAAATGGCCTATGAGCTCGTACCATACGTATGCCATCCAGTGAGTATAAAATCATCAAGTCAACACTGTAAAAACACAACAAGCATGTTAGTGCCTTGATTTGAGATTTAAAGATATAGACCAGTTTTGGAAACGCCCCCCTCTCAAAAAATGAAATGGAAGCTCTTATTACCAATCATGTGAAAGAATACGTATATGTTTTGACTAATACGTGAAGATACAAATTTTGTCGGGAAACCACGTACATATTGATATATTTGGTAAATTATCATATCGATCTGACCTGGATAGATATCGCGTAGTCCCATATACACCTTTATGTGTACAGTGCTTGTAACTTTACCAAGATTGAGCCAAATTTCTTATCATTTTGATGATTCCAGAACCTTGCAGTACACTAATACTTATATGCTAGATGATCAACCTTTTCTGATCGATTCCACAACATTTCTTTCACAATGCTTTCTATACCTTTAAAGGAAAAAAGTGAGAAGTATTCCTCCTCTTCAACAGAGTAGGATTTTGAAGCTCTCAAATTCCGTCCAGACCATCACAGACTTTAACTATCTTTGATCCACAATTGAAACTTTAATTGTTCAAAAATACTTTTTGAAGACATTTAAACTACATTATTGTATTTCATCATAATTAAAACTACATTGCTGTACTTTGTCATAATTTCCTTTCATTTCTCTATAACTGATGTCGATTAATCTTGTTCTTATTTTGATATTTCTTTAGTTCTTGAATTAGTAGTTATCTGTAATTTGTTTTAAATTATTGTAAAGTGCATTGATAATTTCTCCAACAATGAAAACGCTATGGAAGCCTAGGTTAGTATTATTACTATTAAATGATATACTTAGTTGATATTCTTTTGCTGCTACATCTCAAATACTAATATATCTTCTTTATGGTAGAATCTGTGGATTCGTCAAGCCACGGTTGGTTTCATAGCCGCCATCGCCAGGTCTCTCAACATTGCCGATGTGCATTGCAACCTGACACCACTCCTACTACCATTCCTGAAGAAACCCATCATACAGATTGATAAAGAGGTTTGTATTCAGATATCTGTGATACGATATTATGTGTAAATAATGTGACACCACTCCTGCTACAGTTCCTTAAAAAACCCATCATACAGATTGATAAAGAGGTTTGTATTCATATATCTGTGATACGGTATATTGTGTAAATAATGTTTTACAATTGACAGTTATATTTTCTTTTTAAAGATGTGCATTGTATTTAGGCGAGGCGTCAAAAATAAATATAACTGCACTTGTGCGTCCTGGCTGCATTTTTTAAATTAGCTCAGCCGGCTACCGCTGGCGGTAGGACCCTCAATTAACTCATGATGTCATCATAATGGTCTCCGAACAAAAGCATGCGCCGGCTGCCGCCTTTCGAATGGAAACCGAGCCTCTGATCCCAGCCTGGCGCAAGCCGGCTGGGCTAATAAGTGAAAAATAATTGCCCCAGCCAGGCTTCGGCCGTAATTGCAGCCTCGATGCGCCAATACGTGAGGCGGCAGCCTGCTGGTATCGATATTTTTGACGCCTCGCCTTAGCGTACACCACTCCTACTACCATTCTCTTACAGGTTGATAGAGAGCTTTGTTTCTTTAATCTGTTACATTATTATCTCTGTTTAAAATTTTACAGTTGACATTATTTGTATTCTTTGGACATGGATTTGCATTGAAAGTGATAAAAAAGTTTTGTGTTTAATCAAATGTCTGTGTAAGGGTATTTTCTGCCAATAATGTTTCCCTTCTTTTCTTTTTATTGTGCAGGCTATCATCATGAGCGTGCTGAAGTGCCCCGTATCCCGAGCCGTCTACGACTACATCCTCCGCTCCCCGATCATCATCGACTTCTTTGACAACCTGACGGACAGGCAGCTGATACGTAACCTGTGTATTAGACCGGGTCACAAACCAGAGTACAACGAACTAGAAATTGGACAAATGGCACAGGTATGAAGTACAGTCATTGTTTTTTCTTCTTTTTTTTTTTCAATAACTGTATTCAAAGTCAAGGACACGCCCTTCTGGACTTTGTCCGGTGTTTCCCTTTTTCGTTGCAAATGATGTTTGCTGTATTACTTTTTATCATCAAACAGTTTTTGTTTGGAGGAATAAATGTGAATTTCAATTTGATTTGATCAGAGGGAAGATTTATATGAAGAGACTAGACTTTTTTTCCATTTTCAATATTTTGAAATGGCATTATTCAAAAAAAACTTTCCTAAATCATGTCTGCATTAAGTAAAAGTTAAATACAAAAATCATGTCTCTGCAATTTGTTGCAATTTTTCACCTCCAGCTTCTGAGGAAACTGCAGTCGCAGGGGATGACTGAAGAAGACGAAGATAAGCTCTTGTTTCTGAGAGAGATCATGTTGAAGCAGTCTAAGGCTAAGATTGGGTAAGCAAATTAAAGTCTATGCAGTCAAATCAGTCTGTAAATGTATAGACCAACCAAAGGAAACCCTGATGGTAACCTCTTACACAGGTCACAATACACCCATTCAAGGTTGAGGCCGCCATTTTAATTTGCGAGTAAACATTGCGTCATCAATGTTTTCACATCACATCATATCACCAGCTTTGCATGCTGCATAAAAAAAAGGTTACTTGACATTGGCGCCATTTTAAATTGCGAGTATATAAAATTACTGGCAATTTAACATGGCGCCCATGTTCGGCGCATGTGTGCTCTTGTAACCGTGAAAGGGTGTATAGTCAAATCTATTTTGTCTACCTTATTTGACATTTAATTTTTTTTATTTTTATATTTCTGATCTTTATACAGGGTGGAACATTTCACCAATTATGGTGGTCTTCCATGAGGCCCTCTGTGGTAACAATGCTATTCAACAACAATCATTAATTAAAAAAAATTAACAGTATCAAACATTGAATTCAGAGATTCAAATTCCAAACAAGTCGATCATAAAAGAATCAATGTCGTTATTTGAGTAGTTGTTGTATGGATGAAAATGCTATTGATGTTACACACGAAACGTCCATTCTACTTCTACCTTTGTTTAAAAAAAAGGAACTTCTGATGAATTTATATATTCTTCATGGATTTTATATCATCTCTAAGTGACTTTGATGTATTGTTTATCTTTCATGATTGTACTGATTATGCAAGTACGAGTTCACATAATTAATTTGGTATTTGATACGATTCATGGAAAATGATATTAGAGATTTTATGCAATAAACCATAAATGAGTTGAGTTGCATTTAGTTGATTGCATAGTTTTCCTTTTTTGTTTTTTGTTGCTTTGTTCTCTCTCAACCCACGACTCCTCACTAACCTATCCTTTCTTACTATGGTATACGTCTTTCTCTTAGGATGGGCGATCTATCGAACCAATCATCGTCACCCCATGACCCCTTCACCCCAGGTCAGGTCAACCTCAGTGTCTATCCAGCCATTCAGAAGAATCACGCTGACCTCATCAAGCCACCTGACCTCAGGTCAGAGGTCACAGACAAAGCTCAAACCAAGAAGTCCAAGAAGAAGCAGAGTGCAATAGATCCAGCAATGGTAAGAGTGAAATGGTGCAAGCGCATAAAGGCATTATGATACAAATAATACACAGCAGTGAAGGCATTAGTATGAACTACCCACAAAAGGTACCTTTGGAACAGTCTAAATCACCCAACGCAATTGCCGAGGGTATTCAGACTGTCTTGAAGGTACTGAGTGTGAGTAATTTTACTAATGCTCGAACAAAATGATGTGTATTAGTTGTTTTATAAGATTATGTTTTATTTGTTTTTATAAAATGATGTTTTATTACATGATTTTACTGATGACCATGGTCATTAGCATTTGATAATTATGTGTTAGGCAAAATTAATGCCTGGTCACATGTACGCTTTCAACCAATCATTTGATTAGGATCCACGTCATCATCTTATAAATCATAATAAGATATGCGCTATGAAGGAATGGCATATTATTTGAGGATTCATTTATTTACACTCCATGTTGAAAATACAAATCATTTACAATAGTGGCAATGAGAGATGCCACCATTGTAAATGACCATTGCAAGTCAACCTAGTGAACAGATCCTCATATTTGATATGCTGTCTCCTTCTGCTTTTCTTTAACTTTAAATTTTCATTTAAAATCCTATTTTCCGTGTATGCTCCGCTAAGTGTATGTCATATAAACTGGATATGTCTTTTCTGTTTGATCTTAAAAGGGATCTACCGCTATATGCATTATCAAGCACACCCTGGGGCCCATTTCACAAAACTGCTCATCAGTGACAAATGACAGTTTTTTTGTTATAAGTGAAATCCTTGCTTCTGGTTGGTTACCAGCAGAGTTTTCACTAATTTTTGTCATTTGTAATTGATATAAGGCTTTGTGAAACAGGTCCCGCAATCTGATGAATCTGTCAGTCTGTGATTCTCTAGGTGTTCTTCTTGAGAACTGCATATCTGCAGGTTCAATTATGATCTCCATTGATTAATTCTAGTACCCTTACAAGCTTATATTAATACACTATCTATTTCTGATCATTGTCAACACTGTCTTGCATATTCCATCTTCTCATCCTTTCATTTCAACAAAATTTGTCGCAGAACGAGGAATGGAGGAGTATGTTTGGTACAGCCGCCGACACAAAACCAATCAAGGCCTCCCAACAGCAAACATCCATCAACACCCCACCCCTCCACCCCTCAGGGGGTGACCTGCCTCCCCCTCACGCCCCTGTCCAGCGCTCCGCCTCCAAGGCCGCCCCGCAGAAACCCCCCGGAGGCCAGGACCAGACGCCCCCCTCCTCCGCCCAGGCACAGCCCCAGCCTCAGGGGCAACTCAAGCAACAACAGCAAGCAGCTCAGCAACAGGCGCAACAAGGTGTGGATGCAAAGGCAGCAACTCAGAGGCAGAGTCCGACAAAGCAACAGCAAGGAAGTGGCAAGCAGGTACTCTTTCTCTCTGTCCTGCTTTTTTCTTTAAAACATTATCTCCTTGTGTTTTCTGTTATCTTTCGATTTTAAGAAACTAGAGAGATTACATCGATATGCATTGATAGGGCTCTGCATTGATTGGGCTCTTTTGCATGAAACTTAGGATTGATGGTACTTTGCCGTTCATCATCACCAAATTCACATTTATTCGGCAAAAGATAAAAACATCAAAATGAAATCATTACAAATGAAATCATCATAAATACCGGGATTGCTAAAATAAGTTAAAAACTTGTAAACAAGCAACCCCAAACATAAAAACATACAGATACTATACAATACAATACGATGAAATACGATACAATACAATACAATACAATAATAATAATGTTACATGCTAACAAAATATATGAATCAATTATGTATTTCAATATATCAATAAGTGGCAAGTATTGTTCTTTTCAGTTTAAGTTTAAATGCGTTGTGGTTCTTAATACCCTTTAAATAACTTGACATGGAGTTCCATTTGTGAGGACCTTGATATCTAATTGATAAAGCAGAATTGATAAGCAGAAGGTAATGTAGCCTAAATAAATGATTCAATAATAAGGTTAAAAAGATCTATTTCACAATCTACTTTAGCACCCAAAATCATTTTTTTAACCAGGCCCTATTGAATACAACCCGTTAAGTGTAACTTTTATGGAAACCTTGATTTGATTGGCTGTTGGGTGTCGATGGCAAAGTTACCATTAGCGCCAAGTTGTATGCAATAGGGCCTGGTTAAAAAAATGATTTTGGGTGCTAAAGTAGATTGTGAAATAGATCTTTTTAACTCTATTATTGAATCATTTATTTAGGCTACATTACCTTCTGCTTGCTCTGTTTCTTCAAACTTTGACAGATTTTCATCATATCTGTAGATAGCTAATACAGTACATTATGGTAGAATGGGATCGTACCTAAAATAAGGAGTATATTGGCCTAAGTTTCTGTCCATCACACTGTGTAACCGTTGGTGCTCTAACATTATTACTCTAGTCTTAGCCAAGCGGCCAAATATTTAACTCGCTAGCATATATCAGGTACCCATTCACACCTGGATGGAGAGTGGCAAACATGGATTGATGTCTTGCCAAATGCATCACTGCCGGGCTGGGATTTGAACCCTCGACCCTTTCGTGGATAGCCAATTGAAGGAACCACTAAACCATGAAATCTCCGCATTTGTGTTGTAGTCTTGTGTATATGTCACTCGACTGCAGATCACAAGGTACGGGTTTGAGTCCCGCCGCAGCACTAATGTCCCTTGGCAAGACGTTAATCTACATTTGCCACTCACCACCCAAGTGATAAATGGGTACCAGGTAGGATGCGAAAGTTAATGCAGTTGAATGAGCAAGTGTGCGCTTGTGAAATGGCGACTGGCCGGAATCCTCCCCAGGGAGTGGAGAATGAGCATACATTGTGATGACCTGGGTAATAATATACACTGTATCTGTAAAACCCTTTGAGAGGGTCTGCGGCCCTGAAATGCACTATAAAAGAACAAACTATTATTATTATTATTGAACCATGACGTTTGCTTCAGGTATCCCCAACTCAGACGGATGCAGCACAGGGAGGGGGCAAGGGACAGATAAACAAGGGTCTCATGGCCAACGAACCGATCCGTATGTCACAGCTCCAAGCCGCAGCCGAGGGAATACCCGTCAAAAAGCCTGTACAGGAGTCTAAGCCGGTAGCCTCACACAGTAAGTGATTTCAAGTTCGGTGTTAGTGTTAGTGTTTAGAACAGTCAAGAGCTCTTAAATCGTGCTAAAAATTTGCTGATGAAATTAAGAGCCCGATACCGATATCAATATCGATAGATACATTTTTGAGGGCTTGCAATCCCTGATAGTGGCTGTATGAGTTACATATTTGACTTTCCCAATTGGAATATCAACTCAGAAGCAGAAAATTCAAGAGGAAATCAATGTTTTCATCATATCCCTTGCATTAGTTGCAGTTGTGTTTATGTGTTGCACAATGTGTTTACATCCCCATAATATTCATATGAATTTTGTGAGGCACATCCATGTTGTAAGCCAGAAACTGTGTGTCCTTGCTTCCACCAACAATCTCTTGTCATATGATATATCAAAGAGAAATAGAAAGTATTTCCTGACTCTTGATCATGAATATTCAAATTATAATTCAGTCCAAGATCATGAATAATCAAATTATCATTCAGTCCAAGATCATGAATATTCAAATTATCATTCTGTCCAAGGTCATGAATAATCAAATTATCATTCAGTCCAAGATCATGAATATTCAAATTATCATTCAGTCCAAGATCATGAATATTTAAATTATCATTCAGTCCAAGATCATGAATATTCAAATTATCATTCAGTCCATGATCATGAATATTCAAATTATCATTCAGTCCAAGTCTCGTCTTGTCATCTGAACCTGCGAAGCCTCGTCACTCGGAAGCGAGATCAGTATGCCATGGACATCATGCGCAAGATGCTCATCCACGACACCACCTTCAACGCGAAGGCTCCGCAGTCGAATTGGAAACCAAGAGGACTGTTGATAGCTCATCTTCATGAACACAAAGGTGCAGTCAATAGGTAAGATTTAAAGCCCCACTATACTACTTATAGCTACTTGCGCCCTCTATATATATCAAACAATGCATAATCAGTGACCATTTGTCCCCCATGATCCTCTTTTTCTTATGTTAATTGAGAGCTGAGTTTATGAGATAGCCACCTGTCACCTTGGGTGGTCTAATCCCTTCTAGCCAAACTAGTACAGACGGCCTTTAAAGAGAAAACAACTTGGGGAGAAATATTTGATTCAGTCGTATTGTTATTATTTAAAGCAAAATTATATTCAATTCAATTTTAATAGATTTTTGTTTTTATTATTTATAAAAATACAAAATTCAGAAGATTAGCATTGTCATAGTTACAGTAAAATACAAAAAGTAGAAACAAGCTAATGTACATGTTCATTGACATAGTTCAATATTAACTAAAGAATAATGTGTCACTATGCATTACTTATAGTATAGGGACTATAATAATGAATTAGATTAGATAGATAAAATGTGTTCGAGATTGATAAACAGCCCAAATTCATGATGAAGGTGTACGTGTAAACCATTTTTATAAATCATGGTTTGCACCTCCCCTGTGGACTAAAGAACTATCTACAGGTATCTATCTATTCATCTGTCTGTCTGTCTGTCTGTCTATCCGTCTATATGTCTGTTTGTTTGTCTCTATATCTGTCTGTTTGTCTGTCTATCTGTCTATCTATCTATCTACATGTATTCGTCTATATGTCTGTTTGTTTGTCTCTGCATCTGTCTATTTATCTATCATGAGCTAGTAATAAAGTGGATGATGTTATGAAAAGAAAGTGGAAAAAGAAAGTGACTAATCAAACTATCTGCATGTAACTGTTTTACGTACCAGATTACAAGTCAGCTACGATCACACACTCTTCTCGACGTGTTCTGACGACGGCACGGTGAAGGTATGGGACTGCACGAAGCTCATTGGCAAGGCCAACACTAACAAGTCAAGACAAACGTACAACAGGCAACCAGGCAAGATCAAGACGTTGACCTTCTGTCAGTCGTCGCACAGTATCGCTTCCGGGTCAGACGACGGCTCCATACACGTCAATAGGTAATCACTGGCAGCTGCAGAGTTATGGAATAAATTACCTAGTCATCTTAAGCACGTTGATACAGTAGAATTTTTTTTTTAAAGACACATTTTTTGGTTTGTTAAAGTAGTACAATGTTATGATAAAGCAGTTATTATTTCTCTTCTCTTCCCTCATGTCTGCTATTATCCCTTCTTTTCTTTTTTCTGAGCGCATAGGGACTTAAATTTATTTTTGTGATATGCGCTATATACAGTAAGAATGGTTTAAATAGTATTATTATCACTGTTACTAGGTTTGTAGATGTTGTTTATATTGTTTCAATTTAACATTGTCTTCATTGTAACTCTGTTATTTCTGGAAGATATTTTGATGACATAGAAATATTGTGATGTTGTGAACAAAAATGATTTATTCAATATTGACTCTTGCCATGACATGATGTATTGCTTTTAAACAGTATTGAAATGATATCAATTCTGATATACAAGCTATTTTTAGAAATAATTAATCAAATAAATTTTCATAAATCATTGTTAAGTATTTTGACCATTGATTATTTACTCTTACATTTACCTTCATAGTATTATAATAAAAGGTTTTTAAATTGTACTAACTTCAGTTTCCCATTGATAAACATTTATCTGTTAATTAGTGGTTATAAGAACAATATATTTCCACAACTTACACTGACATCTTGTTTATGGAGGGGGGGGGGGGGGGGTTGAGCTTGTACATTTAAATTTGCACTCATTCAAATTAATGTCTTCAACTTGCATTGATTTATGTTTGGATGCACATTCAGCTTTGCATTCATATGATACGATTGCTACAACCTGCTGTATTTTTGCCTTACATTTGTCTTACAGAATAGAAGCGAGTCCACCTAGACTAGCTCCTCTGGACAAACGGCAGCTGAATGTAAGCGAGGAGGGTGTACCAGTAGACCTGGCCCACTTTGATACAGGTCCACAATCAATCCTGGTCTATGCTACATCGCAGGGCTATCTCGTGGGCTGGGATCTGAGATCCCCTACCGAGGCCTTCCGATTACGCAACCAGCAGAGGCATGGCAAGATACTAAATTCTTCTTTTTTGAAGATTTATATTAAAAAAAGGATACTAAATTCTTCTTCAGACTCTTATTGATGATAACATGTGTGAATGAGATATACTTAAAAAGGAAATTCCAAATTGATACACCCAACTTAAAATCAGAAAAATGACAGAAACAGATCAGTAAAGCTATTGGAAAATTTGATAAAAGAGAAACTTTTTAAATTTTAAATCTTCCGTCTAAGATATGTAGTTGCTTTTTTTCTAATTTTGTTTTATTTTCCTATTCGAAATGTATTTTCCATGACTTGTTAAATTGTTTTTCTCTGAGGTCATATTTCAAACCTCCTTCCGTTTATATTTTGTATTTCATTTCACCCATTGCAGATTATTTCATATATTTAATGTTAAAGCAGTATCTTTATATTGTACACATATTTCATACTTTGTTATCATTATGATAATAATAATAACATCTCTATGCTTTTCCAAAAAGCTTTGGAAATTATTACCCTAGCTTTGGCTCTGGCAGCCATTAGCAGCGCACAGTCATTTTACCTCACCTGGGTTGAGTGTGGCAAATGACATTAATGCCGAGGCGGGACTCAAACCGTGTACCTTTTGATCCGCAGTCCGGTGACATATCCACTGGACCACATATGGAATATGAATGCAATATTGACCTTTTCCCCACTCAATTATATTCATTTGAAAATATGATTTTCTTGTAGGTTTGATCACATCCTTTGTGGTTGACCCCCAGCAGTGCTGGATGGCAGTGGGTACAACCAGTGGCAGCCATATTTGCTGGGACATGAGGTTCCAACTCCCGATCACTACAGTTCAACATCCATCAGGTATTGTTGAGAAAACCCTATCACGCTTTATTTCGATATGAAACCAAGGGAGACTTTATTCCACCATGCAAGGTGCTCAAGGTGCTCAAGGTTTTTAAAAGGCTTTAACTGGCTACCGTTTTCTGCGCTCACAACCTCTTTTGATTTCTGAATCCTTTCCAGTGGACACACTTTTCCTTCTTCTTCTTCTCTCTCTCTCTCTCTCTCTCTCTCTCTCTCTCTCTCATTCTCTCTCTGTTTTTGTGTCCATCTGTCTGTCTGTATCTCACTCAGCCCTCTCTTTTTCTCTTCTAGTTTTCTTTTTCTTCCTCTTAAAAAAAAGAAAAAAAAACTCATTTTTCAAAATGTAATCAGTGGAAATAATAACCCTCCAAATAGTCTTTTGTCAGTGCTTAATTCAATTTATGTAATCATCACCTCAACTGTTTATTAAAATCGATTTTCCAACAAAATCCTTTATTACTTCAAGAGACCCTTAAGAGGATTCCTTTAGTTGGAATAATACATTTAAAGCCTGGTAATAAAAGACTGGTACAAAAGACTTTTATTAATTTAATTGTAAATTAATAATATTTTTGGTGCCTAATAATAAAATTGCTGTAAAATAATGTTTTTTTTTGGGGTGTTCTTACTGATATTGTTTTGGTTTTATTATACAGGTGCTCTGGTAAGGAGGGTTCGTCTGCACCCCAGCCAGCAGTCCTTGGTCATCTCAGCGGTACAAGGAAACAATGAAGTCTCTATGTGGGACATGGAGACAGGGGCGAGACGGTTCACCCTATGGGCGAGTCCACACCCTCCCCTCTCCCAAACACAGGTGCGTATTCAGTAATAAGTGAGTTCGTGTCATAGGTCAAATGAACATATCTCCAAAGCTTAATCGTCGTTTACTTGCACGCTCTGCGTAATGCATATGTACATAGGGCTACGTGAAAATGTGTGCGTGCGTTCGACCTTCACTGTTTAGTTTATGTTTTACTTCAATTGACCTTTGGAAAAGTTCGTTCCCGAATCTGGCGCATGCGGGATTTGCAATTACGAACTTGCTTATTCATACTCTATCACAAAGAGGGTGTAGGGGTCGGTTTTGACGTCCCATCCCTCTCCATTTATTAATGAATCTTACAATACCTTGTCAAATTCCTATTGTTGCCTTTTCAACATTACATGTACATGTAATGTACATATACTATTATCCTGTATAATAAGAAAAGTAAGAGAGTCTGGATCTAGTTTTATGAAACTTCCCCATGGAAAAAAAAGAATATTTTACATGCTATTGGAGTGTTGCATGCAGAAAATTTTACTCGTGCGACACTTGTGCCAAACAATTTTTTTAATTGTTTTTTGAACCTGTGCTTTGTAATAGTCTTTCAGGTTGGCAGCATTTTTTTGCTTTTTAACAGAAAGGTCAATATTTTCCTTTTGAGAATGTGCATCATTTCTGCTCTTATTCTAATTTTCAGCACTTGATCCAATCACTTTGATGTTTGTATCCGTTCTAAAATGTTTCTCCCATTTGATGCTCTTCTTGAAAAGCAGCTCTGATGTTATAGAGATATTGACTGCTTTGAGAGGCCTGGCTGTTTTATAGGCTCAAGGGAACGTGCGCGGGTCATGACAGGATGTGTGCCTGTTCCCGAGAGCCTATAAGACAGCCAGACCTCAAATATTAAAGCAGTCAATATGTCTTTTATATGCCGAATTGAAACAAAAATCTACCAAGAGTTCTTACCTTATCCTTTTATTGAGTAAAGATTGGTTAAAATAAATGACAGAAAGTTTCAATCATTTGGGAATCACAGACAAAAAGCACTGTATGGTGTCCGCTTGCACAAAGAAAATGTTAACACATAAACCAATGGGGATCTGAGGGCACTTTTCAAAAGACTATTGAAAATCACGACTGCAATTTCAACCAATCAGATGGCTGGATTTCTATAGAGAGGTATATATTGTATTGTACTTCATCTCATATCCCAGACCTCCCAGCATGCAATCCACGCCCTGTACTGCATCCCATCTATGGAGCAGACGCCGTGCTTCCTGACGGCCGGCTCCGATCAGAGGATAAGATACTGGAACATCACCAACCCTCAGCAATCGTCCATTATAGCAGGATCGGTGAATGATCCTGTAACGCAGCTCAGTGTTTCCTACAAGTAAGTTATTGCTGATGATAAATAACTGGGGGGGTGTTTCACAAAGATCCTAAGTCAAACTTTACCCTAAGGTGGACTTAAACAATATGGAGAGCCATTTGTAACCTTTTAATAAAATAGATTCAAAAGCAAAACTTCAAGTACTTTAGACTTTTCATAAATTCCGCATCATGAACATACAATCTCCTTGATAATAGAAAATATGAATGATTTGAATCAACATTTTAACCTTTTTAAAATACATGTGTATCTTTTACAAAATATTTTCAAGGATGCTCACGGCTTTCCATAATAGTTAAGTCCAAGTTAGAGATAAGTTCAATTTAGGATCTTTGTGAAACACTCCCCAGGTCTTGTCTCATTAGTATTAGAATTGTTCTCCCTGAGGGCCCTGCAACCAAGTTATTACCTTGGCTTTAGTATGGCCACTCGATAAGGCGCACAAGCATTCAAGGAACTTCTTCCTACTGGCCTGGGTACCCATTAACTAAACCTGGGAGGAAACCTGGGTGGAGAGTGGCTAACCTAGATTGATATCTTGCCAAAGGACATTTAAAGCCCATCTGCACTAGTTTGGCCAGGAGGGATTAGACCTCTCTGCAAAGATAGGTGGTTATCTCATCAAATCAGCTCTCAATTAACATAAGAAGAAGGGGACCAACGGTCACCGCTTAGGCATTGTTTGCCATATAGAGGGCGCAAGTAGCCATAAATAGTGCAGTGGTGCTTTGATAGTGTTGCAGCAGGACTCGAACCGCACACCATGTGATTGTCAGTCCAACGACATATCCACTAGACTACGACCCCTCTACTGTGTCGTCTGACATATGCTCTGGGGACAATTACCCCAGGCTCTTATTTCATCAGAGATAAAGGGTTAGAGTTATAGTTGCAATTGGGTTTTAGGGTATGTTTGGTGATCAGGTTAGGTTTGCATTTAGTGTTAGGGTTACGTTTACTAGCGGACGTGGAGAACCTCATTACAGAATGGAATTTTTGTTAAGGTAATCCTCAGGCATCTGCTGGTGGCTTTTTCACTGTCTTGTAACTCTTTCATGTTATATGCTCTGTGTTGTTATTTCTATTTTGTTTATACATGTACCTGGAAATCAAATAAATCAACAACAAAATCAAATCAAAGGTTTGGTCTGGGGTTGAAGTTAAAATTGGTAAGTGAAGATTGTCCATGTATTCTCAAGAAGATAGCCTTTTAAATTTTGGGCCTTCCGTTTTTGTCATCTCTGTAAAGTTTCTTCTAATGTTGATCATGACATCACCTTTATTTCTTTTCCCATCAGTCATCGTGTCATAGACGGTACTGAAGTCATCGTCGAAACATACGGCAAGCAGCGTGGTGGAACGGGTTCGGCTGCGACCTCCGGGAGTGACGAGAGTCAACGACGCAGTGCTGAGCAGGTCCCAGTGGGGCATCGAGATGTGATCACAGATATGGGTGTCTTCCAGATATCGTCCTCAAGTAACGCTTTAATCACATCGTCACGGGATGGTGTGGTCAAAATTTGGAAATAATGATAATGGCTGATTATATAGCACTCATATCTGTCACACAGTGGCACTCATGGGGCTTTGACCATTATTGCCAAAGTCGCAAATGTAGATTAACGTCTTGCCGAAGGACGCCAGTGCCGGGCTGGGATTTAAACCCCCTACCTTTTGATCTACAGACTAGTGACTTATCCACTAGACCACAACACCTTCACCTCCAAAGTGAGAAGAACATTGTTCATGGAACATTCATCTATGTCTATTGTGGAGATAAGAATGATGAGTTTTATTGTTGCAATGCACTCTTAAATACCGAAAGAAGCAATATGTCAGAGCCTGTTCTGTCCGACTTAAGAGGTATGGAACTTTGTCAGACAATGAATCTTAAAGGAGCTTTGTAGGTGGATACACATGCCTTCTTTTTGTAAACTTAAGTCTCTGATCATGACATTTGACATTTGTTGAACGCTTTGTGTGACATTTTGTGGAATCACATAGGAAAATTCTTTATGGCATTTTAAAAAAAAAATCTTTTTTGTTCACCAAATGTCACAAGTGGGATGTTTTATGTACCAAATGCTACATGTATTTGGAAAAGTGAATTACTATAAAGTCACCAACACATTCCTTGAAGTTCATAAAATGTAAAGTCAGTATTTAGGTTGCTCTTACACAGTTGTTACACAACCCTGCTACTTTCACAGCACACCAAACATCAAAATGAATATGATGTTTAATGCTTATCAAATATCTTGTAATTTATTGTACATCTCTATACCTGGTGCTGTTGAACAAGTGTTGTAAATGTATTTGCCTTTAATTTATATATTTTGATGACATTCATCAGTTACCTGCAACTGCTCTGCTATCGATGGGATGTAGAGAGAGTATTCATTTAATATGTTGATGTTGCCCATTTCATCTTCACGTCCTAGAAATCAATCTTGGTCTTTTTCAAGAGGCAGAAAATGAATTATTATATCAATGATTAAATGGTTAAATTTCAAAGACATTAATTATTTCATTTAAATGTTGCATATGCATTTATGCATGATGAAGGGAGTATACTAAAAGGAGCATTAAGGCTTCAAACTCTGAATAAATCTTGGGGCTTGTCTAACACACATTGTAGTAGCATGTTTGAGAACAAATGTCAGTCTCGATTCCACAAAATATTATGGCAGTCTTGCCACATATGTTTATCCATGTTTTAAGGCATTCCTGTGTTATCCCATATGATTTGGCATATAGAATCTTGGTACATTTGTAAGTTGATAACATTGTTTAAAGAGGAGGTTGAGTTCTGGGAAGAGGTGAAAATTAATCTGTGAGCGTTATCATTGTTATTATGCAAGTGTGGAAGAACATCAGATAAAACATGCTCCCTGAAAAGCATGGCTCTTCAAATGCCTTCATATTCTAAATATGGCATGTAACATCGTAAAAATCGGGACAGATTTTTACGCCACGTGTTCGTGTAGTCCCATATACCGGTACATCTTTCTGTGTACAATGCTTGTAACTTAACCAAGACTTGGCAATTTTTAAAAATCATTTTGATGATTCCAGAACCTTGCAATACACACAAATATTTATATGCTAAATGATCAACCTTTTCTAATCGACTTCACACCCTTTCTCTCACAATGCAATCGCATGACCATAACTCAACTTTATCTTTAAGTCATCAGGAGAAGATAAAAATGAAATTCATGATAAAAGCACTCTGCTCGTAACAAAGTGTTTCAGAACACTATAAAATAGCTTCCCTTGCACTAAGTACGGTAGAATAACAAAATGTTTTGATTTATTCAATTTTTTTCCACAGAAAATTATTTATTTGAGACCATATAAGTATTGTACTTTGTTTCAACTCTATTTCAACATGTTATTTTTTATTGCAATTTTTCCCCATAAATGCATGCTATTGAGTGGAAATTTAAAAAGAATTATAATGGTCAAGAACAATTTTGACCAGATAAAACAATGTAATTGTTGAATTATGTGCAATTCTGTGGATTATATAATTAATCGTATATATTTTTATCACACATGTATTATGCAAAGATTACTATTTCACATTAGTCTATGTGTTGTCATAGAAACTAAACAGAATAATAAGATGAGATATTATGGATTTATATAGCGCTTAATATGAAATACACAATGTGCACCATCTCCATTCCTGGGGAATATTCCTACCATGTAGTCACCATGAGGACATATGGCAATTACTAACATATATGCTTTCGTCATCCTATCAGGTCCCCTTTTCTCTCCTGGGTTTGGAGTGGCAAATGTAGATTAATGCCTTGCCAGAGGACATTAGTGCCGTGTCGGGTATCGAACCTGCGACCTTTGCATTTCAAGTCAAGTGCTGACCACTCGACTGCAATACCTCTACAATAAGAAATCGTTCAAATGATTTGTATGGTACCGAACTTGCCAATGTGTAGTACAAGGGAAATAAGCTTATGTTATGTTGTCGTAGGGCTTCGATATGGACTGTAAATCCAGCATCCTTTTCCCAATGAAAGTTTTATGAATTTTTAATGATAGCTTATATTCTCATGGCAAGAGACTTCGTGAATCACGCAATATAAGTGTGATTGAATTATGTGAGCATTATGCGATCTGCCTCACACTCACAAACAAAACAAAAACCCACAAAAACCTTGGGTTTATAAACCAAATGTACATGTAGCTTTGAAATGATGTCATAGTGGCACGGTCAAATGATGATTCATAAACAAGAGTATGATTTGTCATAGTATCTTAACTTCCGACAGAAGGTGAATTCATTAAATGACGAATGGAACCAAGTTTTCTATAAATACTTTCCCCATCACCCATGTATTGAAGATGAAAACTGTATTTTATATCACAAAATTTTGCATGTTTTTCTTCTCATGAAAGTCATAGGAGTAAACAATATCATAGTATTTCAAAAATATATTCTAGATTTTTTTCTTCTTCACTGAAATGTTGTCTTTTTTGTATATGTGATGCTTATGCTTGTCAAATAAATAGTGTATAAAATGGAATTTAAAACAAAGATAACTTGTATAGAAATAAACAAATTCAAATGTATCTCACCAAATACTGCTGATATAGCTTCATCCTAATATTTGTTTTACTTTCACAGAAATCTTAGACCCAAATCAGTTTTGGGTGACATGGTTGCAGAGGAAGAGAGAGGAAGGTGATAAAATGTTTGAAAGGAAAGAAAATATAAATGTTGTTTAATGTGAAATGAGAAAGAGAGAGAGGGATGGAGGGAGAGGGTGAGAGAGCGAGAGAGAGGTGAGAGGAGGGATAGAGAGAAACGTGTTGGGAGGGACGAGGGAGAGAAAGAGATAGAGAGGGAAGGGGTGGGGGAGGGGAGAGAGAGAAACGTGTTGGGAGGGACGAGGGAGAGATAGAGAGGGAAGGGGTAGGGGAGGGGAGAGAGAGAAACGTGTTGGGAGGGACAAGGGAGAGAAAGAGATAGAGGGAAGGGGTGGGGGAGGGGAGAGAGAGAGAAACGTGTTGGGAGGGACAAGGGAGAGAAAGAGATAGAGAGGGAAGGGGTAGGGGAGGGGAGAGAGAGAAACGTGTTGGGAGGGACGAGGGAGAGAAAGAGATAGAGAGGGAAGGGGTGAGAGGAGGGATAGAGAGAAACGTGTTGGGAGGGACGAGGGAGAGAGAGATGGAGAGGGAAGGGGTGGGGGAGGGGAGAGAGAAACGTGTTGGGAGGGACAAGGGAGAGAAAGAGATAAAGAAGGAAGGGGTGGGGGAGGGGAGAGAGAGAAACGTGTTGGGAGGGACGAGGGAGAGAAAGAGATAGAGAGGGAAGGGGTGGGGAGGGGAGAGAGAGAGGGGGTGGGGAGGGATAGAGAGAGAGAAAGAGATAGAGAGGGAAGGGGTGAGAGGAGGGATAGAGAGAAACGTGTTGGGAGGGACGAGGGAGAGAGAGATAGAGAGGGAAGGGGTGGGGGAGGGGAGAGAGAAACGTGTTGGGAGGGACAAGGGAGAGAAAGAGATAAAGAAGGAAGGGGTGGGGGAGGGGAGAGAGAGAAACGTGTTGGGAGGGACGAGGGAGAGAAAGAGATAGAGAGGGAAGGGGTGGGGGAGGGGAGAGAGAGAAACGTGTTGGGAGGGACAAGGGAGAGAAAGAGATAGAGAGGGAAGGGCTGGGGGAGGGGAGAGAAAGAAACGTGTTGGGAGGGACGAGGGAGAGAAAGAGATAGAGAGGGAAGGGATGGGGAGGGGAGAGAGAGAGAGGGTGGGGAGGGATAGAGAGAGAGAGAGAGAGAGAGAGACGTATTGGGAGCGACGAGGGAGAGAAAGAGATCGAGAGGGAAAGAGTGGGGGAGGGGAGAGAGAGAAACGTGTTGGAAGGGACGAGGGAGAGAAAGAGATAGAGAGGGAAGGGTGGGGAGAGGGGGGAGAGAGAGATAGAGGGTGGGGGAGGGGATAGAGCCAGAGAGAGAGAGAGAGAGAGGGGGGGCGGATGACTCACAAAACAGAATGGGGCAGAACCTTATGAAAAGGGAGAGCGAGAGGCTAACATTAGTCATTTCTATTCAATACCATATTCCTTCTGATTGCTATTTCAACCTGTTTACTTGTTCTGTTTTTGGTCTTGCAGTATTGATGATAATGAATGACTGAATCAGGCTAGAAAACCCCTTGGCTAGGGAAATCGGACGGGGAAGAGCGGCGCGCCGCGGGACGTGGCGCAGCCATTTATCTTCATTTGGGGGAATTCCCCAAATTTAGCCTCAATTCAGACAATGCTTATTGTTTTTATATAATTTACAAGGTAAGGAAATTTGTTATATGCTTAAAGTAAATGTAAAAATCAAAATGACGGTCCATATGCCCACAATATAATATATGTTTCGACAAAAACTAATATTTTTTGCGAAATAAATGGCACATGATATCGCGGTGAGGACTTCTATGTCAGGATCATGTATGTCTTGGCCGCGCGCGCTGGCCGCGCCTACGCCTACGCTTTGCTTAGACGGAGTACTACTCGTCAGAGTATGACTGGTGGTGGGATGTATGATGTGTTGCAAAACAATATGGTGGAACTGTCGCTGGCATGACATTGCATGGTTCAGGAAGTGATGCAGTGGATGCAAATTCCCTCACCATCAACATGAACCTTAGACTAGCTTTACTTTAATTGATCCTTAATAACGACAAACAAAACTTTTGGTCAAACTTTTATCGTCTGTGTCGGATTTTCTGTGTGCAAACTCTTGCTCATTCGTTCAGAAAGGCACTCACCGCCAACAGCAAGTACGAAGCCGTATACCGTAGAGCCGAGGGTGATATGGCTTGGCCGCGCCGATGAGTGATCTTGATCTGGAATCCGAACTCAATTTATTCTGGGATAGAGGCCACATTCAAGTAGATCTGCTGAGAATCGGTAAAGTTACTCTAGATTTTCTTTTCATAATCTTTTCCCAATATTCTTACTCTGGAACTTAGTTCGATCTTCGAGGTCTACATGACTAGACTAGACCTCTAGTCTGGACAAATAGAGTCAGAGGTAGGGAGGCCAATGCCCAAATATAACTTTTTAATTACTAATTTGTTTATAATAAAACAAATGTAGGGTTGTGGTTCTAACTAATTCCTAGCACTCTTAAGTACACAGAGGCAGCCCAGCAGACATGTTGTACGATTGATAACTCCTGGCTAACTGACCAGGTTTTAATGTAGCAAAGCATTACAGCATTCTATGTAGCATTCCACATACATTCCATGCAAAGTAGAAGAAACCAATAAATATTCATTTAGTCCCATACAAGTATAAATCAGCATCCCAAAGTATTCTTGAATATTCAAACATAAACAAAGGGTATATATTGAATATTCATGGTATATGTAAATTATACTATAAGCTTGACTGCATCAGGTGAACATTGAAACCAATGAGAGAGAAAGAGAGATAGACAGATGAAAGGATGGTGGATGAAAAGGGTGAATGTAAATGAGGGATGACCTATTAATATGAAAGGGATGAATCATGGATATGAGGGGGAGTTTCAGAAGTTCAAAATAAATCCCTACAAACTAGTCTTCCCCTTACAAATAAAATGTCCTCATTTTATAAGGCATTGTCCTTTCTTTGATTACCCAAACATCTAACACATTAAACATCTTTCAAAATGATACTTTCTATCCTTTCCTCTTGTAAACAGAGAATCACTATCAATATATCCTTTTGTTTCCCATTAAAAGAAAAACTAAACCTTACTACCTGTAAGCATATATATATACACTTGTACAAAACAAATGAATTTTACTCGTATATAAATGACCTATGACTCAAATGTACAGAGTATTAGCTTAATATACATGTATAAGCTGAAAAGAAAAACAAAAATCTGCAA